AACACAAAACTCTAGCCTCCATATATGTTTGAGAGCCTATTTTCTTGATTTAGAGCTTATTCATTGGATTTTGGTGAAGCTTGAGGAAGAAGGAAGTTTACATTGGTGCAAGGAAGGAAGGAAAATGGTTTGGAACCATCATTCTCTTCTGATTTCATATATATTTGAGGTATAAACTTCATACCTTAGAATTTCGTCTTCTACATTCAAGTTTGGGAACATTTCGGGTAGTCTTGGTCTCTTCCCTGGATGCTTGCTCTTGGAGGTTGAGGAACTCTAGAGCTTGTTATGGTCCTCCTTTTGTCTTTAAGTTTCTAATGATTGAGAAAAGAACCATGTTTAGAGTCATCTTGTGTCTATGTATAATTTTGGTTTACATTAAGGACTTATTAGACTTAGAATTGTAGATATTGCCTTTTAGTGGACTCCTAATGGATAAACTTGGAAACATTATCCATTAAGTGATTGAATTAGACCATATATGAGGTTATGGGTTTAGATCTGTAAGGATTAAGCACTTAATGAAGATTAATGCATTTTGCTAGGAACCACGACGTGGCCAAGGGATTATGATGGTTCGAATCCCTAACATTTATGTATGAATCTAAAAGAAACGTGGAATAAGAACATTAGTATTTGAAAAATAATAACCTATATTATTTATTAGTTTTTTCACAAAGAATAATGCTCTCACAAAAAGAACGAGTACATTCTAAGAAATCACCAAGAACTGTTAGATCTATCTCTACAGAAACTCTAACTCTCAGAACACAATACAAATCATCAACTCTCAACTAATGAGAGAGGCTAGTATAAATAATAGTCTAAACCTAGGAGATAAAACTTCTGCAGATTCACCGGATCTTTGGTTATATCAAATCCTTGATTTGATGGGATTAACTCTTTAATGATAAATGAAGATCTAGTATATAAGTAATGGATCAGATCATATCTTCAGCATACTTCTTCACCTAGTAAATCTGATCTGCTCCATATTTGGAGATCAGCACCAGCACAAAATAGACTAATCAAAGCATCAACGTTAGCATCAGGGAGTCACATGCTGATCAGCTTTAGCTTCATCTCATGCATCTTCAGCTTCAGCAGAGTATAGCCAACAACGAGTGCCATCAGTGTATCACCTGATTAATGTGTCATCTGTGTAAGAACATCAATGTCTAGATACACTGATCAGTCTTCAGTGAATGGTGACTTTTTGCCTTTGGTGATGATAGTGTCTTCATGGTCTTTTGTTCATCAGGGGATGATCTTCAGTCTTCGAAATATCAACTTCCATCAACATATTTGTAGATGAACTAACTAAACAAGCTCTGACAGATCAACATGTCTAAGTGTATTATTTAGACTTGATTAGAAAAGTCTGACTAACTAAAATGAACAATACAAATATAACTATAATGTATACATTTTTGCATCATCAAATTTATACAAATATGCGACCGAACAGATTGCCACTACGTGGCGGGGTCCTTCGTGTTGATTGTTTGGTCCCAACACGCCCACGACGAAGCCAAGAGGTCTCCACATTCCACATCGTAGTGAGCATTGACTTGGTTTACTACTGACTCTTGATTTTTGACCAGTTTGAATTTGAATCAAAGTTAAAGGACTTCGGTTATTGATTATTTATCGATCTATGTTTGGTGCTAGTCGGTTCGTGATAGTAATCGGTGCAAGGAGTATGGGCATTGTTGTGTTTCTTTGGGTCTTCAACTCAGGTGAGTTTCCTCATTTTAACATGTTTTTACAATATATATCCTTGTATGTTAGGATACAAGAGTAGTGGTATGTTGGATAGAGTACCTGGGTCGGTGATCATCTATTTGAGTGTGCTAGTGGTTATATGCAGTCATATACGATAGCCAGCAAACTCTTGATCTCGGCTTTCTTGCTTGTTTCTTTTTTGGTTATGACTGTAGAGTAGGACCGCCTGTTCGACTGTCTATTTCGCCTCTGATTACATATAACTTTGCATTCATTAGTGATATGAAATGGTGACATAGAGTAATATATGAGGCTCAATATGAAGTAGTGAGTTGTTAGACATGTATACTACTCTAGATAGTTACCCATGTTTATGTTCTATTTGGATTTAAGAATGTCAACATATCGGGTGGTGGGTTGAGGCGGTCCTGTTTTAATGAGGTGGGAAAAGATACTCGGGGGGGGGGGGGGGGGGTGTTGTAGGCCAGGTGCAGACCAACTTTATGATGTAGGCATGGGAGGGGTACCAGTCGTGGACTACATGCCCAAGAGAGACGTTCAGGTGTACCGTAGGCCTCACGTGGCGGTCCATTTAGACTGATGACTCGTGTGTGTGTGTGTGTGCATGCATTGTGTGTATTGTGGTGTGTTATTTTGGTGGAACTCACTTATCTTTGGCTTACAGTTGTGGATTAAATGTTTTTCAAGTACCATTGGTGATCGTAGGAAGACGAAGGCGTGACTGTACACACTCATCAACAACATTGGAGATTCCATATTTATTATATTACTCTGATTTTTAAACAATTGTATTTTGGATCGGATGAGTTTTCTTAACTTGGGTTTTTATGAAAATGGTGTTTTACCTTAATTAAAAATGAAAATTTTGTTTGTGAAAATGGGACGTTACACCTAGGTTTCCTTTTTTAGTTCACTCGAGATTCCATAATTTGACTCACTTCTCAAGGTAATCGTGATCACATTATTTTTTAGATTGTGCTCAATTTGCTCAAGAAGTTTCTCTTGAGATTCTAGTCAACTCAAGAAAGTTTCAAGTTAGAACATTTGTTGTGCCAAATTTTTTATAATTACTCTGTTTCATTCTAGAATGCGTGAGTGCTAGTAGGTAAACTTTTAATGATATCTTTTAAAGATATGTTGGAATTGTCAAACTATTATTGCACAGACTGTTGCTGAAAAAATATGTTGCTATTGATTATGCAGAAAAATGGGTTGTGATTGTTGAAATCCAGACTGTTGCAAGAACTTAGGCGGACCTTGATGCTATTGAACCTACCAAAAATCATGATTTTGATTCTAATTAAAATTTCTTTTCCGGTAGACTCTGACATCTTTTACCACTACCTAGTACCTATGTAAAGCTTCTAGTTTTCCTTGTTTGTTACCAAGGATTTCACTACGAAATTTTGAGACTCACATTTCCAAAAAATATTTCTCCAAAAATAACTTAGTGATTGTGCTCCTTGTGGCGATGAGCCTTGAGGGAATATCTTATAGCCATTCATATGTTGAGTCTTGTAATTAAAAAGGGAATTCCCTTAACTTTATCTGATCTCATGTAATAACGTGTGGTTTCATTCTAGAACTGACGACATGAAATTTCGTGAGGAATATGTGCGGCTCTTTGTTTTATAAGATTTAGCATATTAGACGAAGATGAATCAACCAAGAATTTAATTCAAAATTCTATGATGCAGAGAGGATGTTGGAAAACCTCTAGAGTAGCTCATTATCTAAGAATATTTTGTTTGTTGTATTCCATGATTGTGGTGGTGGAAGAGTTAGTATTAGAATCAGAAGATTTCGTGCATTGGAAATTTATGGTTGATGGTGGGTAAGGCTTATTTACGTTGTGAGCAAGTGACGATGGTGTTGCTTTTGGGAGATAAGTAAAGGTGGGTTCAGATTCTTTCCACAAGAGATTAGCTTGTGGAGTTGTGATTTATGGTGGTGGCTAAGATGATGGAACTGAGGAATCTGTTTGTTTCTTCTAAAGTTTTCCTTGCTTCTTTAGCTTTCTTACGATCTTCTCAATTTCTAGATTGAAGACTAATGTATCTTTACATAAAGGTCTTGGCATAAAAAATATTAGAAATACCGTATCCCAAAAACAACATCAATTTGTTAAACATGTTTTTTACACTAAAACAAGTAAGAATCACTGCTTGGTTACACTAAAAGATAGCATAGGGAAGCAAGGTCGAATCCTTAGGGACGCATCCTAAAAATCAATTCCTCTTTGTGTAAATCATATACTAGTAAAAAACAAGTAGATCATGCAGTAAACTCTTCTTTCCCCCTTTCCCACTAGTAAACGATGGTATCCTCTTCAAAATTTAGGTACTATAGGGCATGTGACACAAGGAACCAGTGATTTGAATAGATTAGGTGTGATTGTGATGAACTTGCAACTTTTTCGATCTCCATAACAGATGAAAATCTAGGCAGAAAATTCAGAGGGTGCTATAACTTTCAGGTAAAAGTGACATTCTCTTTGTGATTCTGTTGCTATTGAACTAAGATAGATCCATTTTCATAATGTGTAGGACAAATTAAGTATGATTTTTTCTTGTGGCTTGATCTACTATTTCTGAAAAATAACTACAAGGAAACCATATCGAAGTTGAATGTTGATTAGTAATATGCAAATGAAGCTAAAGACGGTCGGGATGAAATATTGAAACTTTTGAAGGTGATGGTGATCCTGATAGTGCTTCATCTGGTGATGTTGATTCTATTGTGTTTCATGGTTCTCAAAGACGTAAGCATTAGTGTTTTGGGAACTATTGAACCTTTCGGTATTTATATATTTTGCTTAGGTGTAAGGGTAATAGTGTTATTTAGTGTTTTGGAATATAATTTAGCTGATGTAATAGTGAATTTAAAAATTAATATGATGGTTATTATTTTCATATTTTACCCAAACATGTTTCAATACAAATGATCTAATATGAAAATGCACTTTCAAATGGTAATGAACTGATATGGCAATATAGTTTGCAATATAAATGAAATTAACAACAATCAAGATAATATCAAGTGTAAATAACAAAATTCCAATGGAAATAAACTTCGCAAGGTAATGTACTTTCAAAAAAGGTAATACCAAGTGATATTATCATTAGTTGACATTAACAACCTAAAAAGACAATGTACTATGACCAATGTACCAACATAACTAAACAAAGCGGTAATAACAATTAGAACCAAGGTTCCAATTCTACCAAACACATTAGACATGAATTGGAAACCTATTACCAACATATATGTGTACAAAAAGGGAAGAATAATACTAATACCGATTTTACCCCTATACTACGAAACATGCTACTCCAAACACCTAATCTGGTTATTCCTAGAAGTCCCTTCCCAAAACCACTACCAACTGGTTGACTCTTGCTTAGCTTTATCTTTAATATTCTTTCAGAAGGCTTCCTCCTCTTCACCAATGAAACTAGTGTCCGTTTAGCCATTATGATATGTCTCTCCTTTCTTATCTGCAAGACAATAAGTGTCATGATATGAATAACAAGGGAATATAAAGAGTGACAAGTAAATTGCATACCTTTTCCATTGTTAAATCAGTTTCATCCTATGCATATCCATATTAAACCATGTCTTTTCTAAGTTCTACATCATCATTATTTTCCTTAATCTTATTCTCCTTCTGGTGGAAATCCGTCTTCATGTCCTCAACCTCAGTCTCCTTGACCTCAACAACATTCTCTTTCTCCCCAACCTCAGTCTCCTTCTCCTTAACCTTATTCACATTCCCCTTAAACTCAGACACCTTTTCGTCAACATTATTGTCCTTCTCCTCAACCTCAGGCTCCTTCTCCTCAATTTTCTGAAATTCCATTCTTTACAATCTCACAACTAAATCAAGCTGTAAAGAAGGCCATGCACCATCTTTTTGGTTGTTTTTCCATGAGATTGTTATAACTTGATTCTATGATGTTCTTGATCTTCTTTACTGCATCTTTAAAGTCCCTTTCCACTATACTTTTACTGGCATGCCAAAATAGATTCTTCAGTTCTAATCCTATGAATCTTTTCGTCATGTTTTCAAATATATATCTTGTGTAATGTGTGTAATCAACATGTGGAAGGAGTTGTGACACAACCTACAATAGTCCCAATAATATGATAACAAAGTAACATGTTCAAATCCTTGAAGTATACTGTAATGAACCAAAAATCAAGGGTAAAAATTTCATTTTTAATATAGCTAAAACATTAATACCATTTATTTCAAACATTTCAAATCATCATTAAGTAAAACATTTATTAGAGTTCATCCCAAAATCATTCATTGCGGAAATCATAGGTGTGTGCACTGCGATCAATCCGAGCCCTTCTTTTCCAAATCGATGATACCTGAAACCAAAACTGTAAACCGTAAGCACAAAGCTTAGTGAGTTCCCCAGGGCATACCCCAAAAAATTCACATAACCACATAATCCACATCAGCTATAACAGCTACATAAACCATATCAATCACATAACCATGCATATAAAGACATACCGATGGCGTGGGCTCGTCCCTAGGGTCTTACTCTAGGATGCCATGGGCTCCCCACATGGTCTTACACCTAAGTGTCATGGGCTCTCCCATGGTCTTTAAGAGGAAAGCCATGGGCTCTCAACATGGTCTTACATCCGGGTGCCATGGGCTCCCCCATGGTCCTCCATGCAAGTATCACAAAGAGAACTAGCATACCACATAATCACTAGCATACCACATACACATGCATACCAGACATATCAGTAGCGAATCTAAAATAAACACTACAACATAATAGGAAATCCATGGGCTCTCCACATGGTCTTACATCCAGGTGTCATGGGCTCTCCCATGGTCTTTCATACAAGCATACCACATATACCACTAGCATACTTCCTAGCACATACCCAACTAACATGCCACATAATACAACTTCATCTAATATACCACATATCATAAAATGGGCCGGACTTGGTGCCTTAGACCCATTGGTATGGTGAGGAGACTCACCTCGAATGCAAAAGCTTCCTGAAAGAAATCCTTAGCTGCTACCCTGTCCACTTCCTGAGCTATCAATACCGATCGATATACCCAATTCGCATATGCGTCCCTTACTATAATCCGTAATCCATACATGGGGTAAAATGACCATTCTACCCCAGGCCCATTATGATCCAAAACTAAGGCCTAAACGCAAAACAAAAGCCCAACACTATAATGTCCATAAATCCATCAATGGCCTAATTTTCCAAATTTGGCCCAATCTCTACATAGGTCTTGCCATGATGCCCAATCATTCTTTTCATTCCAACACACTTAGCATTCTAATGGTCCAATAATAATTCTCCGATGGCCCGAGGACCAAGCTCATTGGGCCCACTAAGCATAAACACTCCTACAAGGCCCAATATATAGCCCAATTTCCAATTGGCCCCAATACCTTCAGATGGGACTCAATCTAAGGCCCAATAATGTTTGTCTAGTCGATAATCATGTTTCCAATAGGACCACGAAGCCCCACAACAATCTAGTCCAAGAATTAGCCCAAACCGAGGCCCACAAACGCGAAGTCCATTTCTATATTGGGCCACAAGGCCCAATAGGCCCAACTATTCCAATATTGGCCCAAAGATACATTCAGGCCCAACTATCAGCAATTCTAGGCCCAAAATCATTAGGGCCCAATGGTCCGAAGTCCACTAAAGCCCAAGTCCTCCTACGAGCGTTCGCCCAGCGTACCTCTTCTGTACGCTTAGCGTACTGGGCGAAAGGCTATACGCATAGCGTACTACATAGTACGCCCAACGTACAACCAACTTATGCACCAAATCCATTAAGTGCTTAATACTTGAAGACTTTACGTCCCAAGCTCAGATCTAGGTCGTTTGATGAATCCTAAGGCACAAAGTTGGCAACTTTATGCCTTTGCATCCTCCAAATAGACTAAATAGCCTTCTACTTCCAAAAAATGGTCTTAAATCTTGCATGAACCCATTACGACCTTCAAGATGGCAACTTTCTATCTTAGGGACTCAATTAGCACCAAGGGTGACAACCCTAAGCCTATGAATCGAATTTTAACCATAAAGCTTCATCCTTGGGACCAAAATGAACTAAAAATCACAAATGAGAAATCTAAGATATCCATGGTCAAGTTCAGAGCCTTATACCTTCATCAAGCTGACAATGAGTCACAAAAGCCAGATCCATAAGCTTTTTCTTGATCCCCATCTTTGCATCAAACTCCACCTTCTTGAAAATGGGCCAAACACTCCAAAAATGGACTCCATAAGCTCAAAATGTCACCATTAATGATATATGACGATTTCTAGGGATTTAGAGGGTCGATGTTGAAGATATTAGGGTTAGGTTATGAGATAAGGAGCTTAAATAGGGTCCAAGACCCTAAAATAGGGTTCTGGTCTGACTAGCGTACGCCCAACGTAAATATGGTACGCCCAGTGTACTCCGAAGAACATTCGCGACCATCCTTGTCAGTACGTCCATCGTACTCCAAGGTACGCCTCACGTACTACTTTCTTCACTAGTACGCCCCATGTACTCTTTGTGTACGCCCCGTGTACTCGGCTAGGCCTGAAAACCACGAAACTTCCGAAGACCATAACTTCTTCGTTATAATCCCGATTCCGACGATCCTTATATCCACGAAAAGGTGACGAGAAGCCCTACACTTCTATCAACTCATACGTTCCTTAAGACCTTCCAAAAAAAAGTCCATTGGCGACAAAAACTCAAACTGACACTTTACCGAAATACCCCTAGGCTCCAAAACACGAACCGAACATCCGAATCACTTCTGATACATCACCCACACCCAAATCGACCTAGATCTTACCTTTTCAAAATCCCTAATCCTTATGATGAACGATCTTCTGGCCACAGGCTCAGACTACGAATCGATTCGGAAGAGGATGTTACAACTCTCCCCCACTTGAATTAGATTTCATCCTTGAAATTTGTCCTTACCTTCCCCAGCACATCTAACAATCTGGTCCATGCCTCCACACTCCGGAATAAATATAGCCTTCCCAGGGCAACCAGATACGAACCCTAAAAGGATTTACCCACCTGGAAAGAAATGAACCTTGAACCCTCTTGCATAAAACCACCTCTATCCTTCCGAAACTCGAAACTTCAAATTGACCTAGCCTTCCGACAATTTTCCACACTGAACCATCATCGAACTTATGCCCTAAGAATACTATCCTAAACAAATACTTTCCACCCACAATACCTTGAGGATTCCAAAAGGACAAAATCACCGGTCAACTGCGGCTACCGAATAACAAGCAACTCTACACACGAATCCCAGTCGCTAACCCACTTCGACTCTTCCTACTACCACCTGCTGCTTCTCAGACCTAGCTGAGACCGCCCTGGTCCCAACTTGTCTACCAACTGTCCGGAACACCGGACTGCTGGATTAGTGTCTAAGTCCATAACTATTTTGGTATGTACTTGACCCGATGGTGCATGGTCCTTTTGGGTTGCCTTCACCAAAGCGACTTGATAGGATGAATTATGGAGAGAGAGGATTAATTATTATTTATTAATATATCATGAGAATAATATGTTAAAGGAGAAATCATATTGTTTAATTAATATTAGTCAATAATTAATTAATAATTAATTTTATGGACTTGGTTAAATATGGAGAGAGAGGATTAATTATTATTTATTAATATATCCGAATTTTTTAGTTTGGAATGGTTATCCTCATCAAAATTGATGGACTTGGTTAAATATGGATAATATAGGATTATTATTAGTCAAATATTTGACCTAGCAAGTTTAAAAAGTTTCAATTTACACCCCCTCAAGTTTTATAGTTTAAATTTGAACCTTAAAAGTTTTAGTTTTGAAATTTAAATAGTTAAACCCTAATATTTTGAAAGGTTTCAAAATTTGCACTCAAGTTTTGGAATTTAAATTTTATGATTAAAAGGTCAATTTTGGAAATAATTAAATTCTAAAACATAATGTTTTGAAATGTTTCAAAACTTGCCCTCAAGTTTTGGAATTTAAATTTTGATTAAAAGTTTAATTTTTAAAATTTTAAATTATAAAACCCTAGTTTTGAAAAAGTTCAAATTACACCCTTATGGTTTTATTATGTTAATTAAAGGTATAATTAAAAGAGAGTTAATAAATCCATAATGGTATGGTTTATATTTAATTTAATTAAAAGTGTAATTTATAAAATTAAACCACCTAGTATTTTAAAAGTGTAAAATACACCCTATACTATATATAACATTAGAAGTCTAATATTATATATGTATAACTTAAACTACTAGTCTTACCGTTAGTAGGCCTCATTCACGAAGCCAACTATAAGGGGGGTATAAGGTTATGGCCTATAATATGGCCGTTTAATGGGTGTCCACTCTCACCCACTACTTCCTTGATTGGTGGAGGGTCGTTAGCCGAACGGGTACGATAGGGCAAACCCTCTCCACATTAAAAGTATAATGAATAAAGTAACTAAATGTTTTACTAAATTCCCAAATCTTAGTTACTTTAGGAAAAAGTGAAATCGATGCAATTCCATGGAATTACACTTTGTACCCTTGTCGAGACAACTAGTGGAGCGTGTGTGGTTAACCGGCACACTAAGTTGGGTTTGGCATTGGTAGCGAAGGGTTACTCGATGTTTGTCATAGATCGATGGAGCGTGTGTGGTTAACCGGCACGTCGATTAGGTGACTGTAGCATTGAGGGCACCACGTACATTCGCATGGTTATTAACACCTTATTTGTGATCCTCGGCATCACAGTCACAAATGAAGGGCATAATTGAGATTAAACATGACATTGAAAAGTTCAATGAATCT